AGAGAGAGAGAGAGATTTTCTAAATGAAAAAGAAAATGGGGAAAAAGGGGTGGACTGGTGGTTTTGGGTAGTGAAGAGACAAAAGCAAATAGGGGTTTTGTAACTGAAAAGTGAGAGAAAAAAGAAAAAAATATGAGCTGAATTTCTTGAATCCCATTACACACAAAAAACACCAACATTTGTTACAACCTTCCAAAAGCTGTTGGACAAACCTTTTACACTCACATTTTATATTGAGACAGAGAGAGAGAGAGAGAGGGAGAAGTAGAGAGAGAGAAAAAAAAAACCAAAAAATGGTTGATTAAATATTTCATCAAGAGAATAATGGATAACAGCAGGTGGGTTTTGTCTTTGATCTGTTTCTTGGTTTTTAAACCAGTTGAAAAATAAGAAGAAAAAAAAAAAAAGACATACTTTGTTTTCCCTCTGTGTTAGCTTTGGTGGTTCTTTAATGGCGGATGCTGATGGGCTGTTGAGAGGAGGTTCTCACGAAACAGGTGACAATCTTTTAGACACAAATATTTTTTTTTTTTTCTTTTTTTCTTCATGGGTTTAAGAAATTATTTTAATTGTTTTAGATTTGGATCTCTTGAAAAAGCTTGATGGGCTGTGCCTTAATGCCTTTTTTACTCAAAAAAAAGTTTTGATTTTTATGTACTGTCTTAGTCATGTCTGCCTCCTAATTGCTTTCTCTGCTTATATAATTTCTGTTCTTATTACTGTTCATTATACTTCTTGTTTGTGTGTGAAATTGTTCAAGCATGTTCTTCAATATTAAGCCTTTTTTTGGCTGCAGTGAATTTTTTTTTTCCCTTTAATTTTTAGTTATAATTTATGCATTTATGCAGAGCTCTTGATAAAGTAAAACAAAGATAATCAAACAGTGGCACTTAGTAAAATTGAAAAGGAACTGTGTTGTTTTGCTCATTATGGATTTTCTGCTTTCAGCCCCCTTCACTTTGATAATTTTTTGGATTGGACCCTTGTTTTTACCATATTTATGTTTTGCCCCCTTTGCAATTTTTGTTGATGTTGTTGGTAGGTGTGAGGAGTGGTGATTTGTACACAGAGCTTTGGAAGGCATGTGCAGGGCCTTTGGTGGATGTTCCCTGCAAGAGAGAAAGAGTCTATTACTTTCCTCAAGGTCACATGGAACAAGTATGTTTCAATCTCACATACTGGATTTTTTTTTTTATTTTTTTTATTTTTTTTTTGCTTCATCATGAATTACAGGTTGATTAAGTTTTTTTTCTTAATTGTTTTGCAGCTGGAGGCATCAACAAATCAGGAATTGCATCTGCAAATCCCCCAATTCAATCTGCCTTCGAAGATCCTTTGTCGTGTTGTTCACATTCAGTTATTGGTATCGTTTCTAAAAAAATTCTTGTTCTTCGTTCTCCTTTCGGTTTGTATGTTTTTGCATACTTTTGAAAATTGTGATCGAATTGTTATTTTTCTTTTGTTTTTGGTTTCTTCATTAAATAGGCTGAGCAAGAAACAGATGAGGTGTATGCCCAGATCACTTTACACCCAGAACCAGATGTAAGATGTATATATGTTGTTTTATATTTAAGGCTCGAGCTCACAACTTTAGTTATTCTGACATACTAATGCAAGATGCAACTAAAAATTAAGTGGAGTTGGCTACTTTTGCTAACTTGGTTTAGACTCATTGGTACTTACAGTAGCTATTTTTTTCTATTTTTCTTTGTTTCATTCTTGTAGCAAACTGAGCCGACTAGTCTTGATCCACCCGAACCTGAAGCCCCGAAGCAAAGAGTTCACTCTTTCTGTAAGATATTGACAGCTTCGGATACAAGCACTCATGGTGGTTTCTCCGTTCTTCGAAAGCATGCTAATGAATGCCTTCCTCTATTGGTAATCTTTTCCTCAATTTATTGAAATATCCAAAATTGTTTTTTTTTCATCTTAAAAAACTATATTTGGAATATACTATATTAAGTAGGGGTACTAAGTTTTCGTCTCCTTTGATTTGTATAGATGTGTTTTTTGAATCACGTATGAAGTTGCTGGTGTACTTAACGAACATGATATCGGAAGTGAAGCTAATTTTATATTCTCATTGTATTTTAATACCAAGTAACTGATATAATATTGATTACTGTGTTTGGCCCCTAAGGATATGAGCCAACCAACTCCAACCCAGGACTTGGTTGCCAAAGATCTGCATGGGTATGAGTGGCGGTTCAAGCACATATTCAGAGGTAATAACATTTTCTATATGCTCTTTGGTATTTACTTTTGGTAAATAATTTCTTTTAACTTTTGGTAAATATTCATCAGGTCAACCCAGGAGGCATTTACTTACGACTGGATGGAGTACTTTCGTCACCTCAAAGAGATTAGTCGCTGGTGACTCCTTCGTTTTCTTGAGGTACCTTTTTTCTTTCAATATTTATGGCAATCAGTAAAAATCATTATGCTTGATTTAGCTAATAATTTAACACATATATATGTTTCAAACTAATTAAACGGACACTATTTTATTTAACTGAAGTTTGTACATATAAATTCCGACTTCAAATTCTCTACTGTGTATAGCTTTATTCCTACAAAAATTCACTTTCATGTTAGAAGTTCAGCAAGTGCTTCCTTGTTGCATTCACGATGTAAAAAATGTCCACTTTTACTACTGTTAATTAATAATTACAGAGGTGAAAATGGGGAGTTACGAGTGGGTGTACGCCGTTTTGCACGTCAACAGAGTTCAATGCCACCTTCGGTAATTTCAAGCCAGAGCATGCATCTTGGGGTGCTTGCAACTGCATCACATTCTATCACAACTCAAACCCTCTTTGTCGTGTATTATAAGCCAAGGTTTATCTCAACCTTGCGAAAATGAAATATAACATCATTAGTTTATTTTAAAGATTTCGCATCTAATCTCTCTCGTACTTCTACGGTCGACTGATCAGGACAAGCCAGTTCATTATCGGGCTAAACAAATACTTAGAGGCAGTCCAACATGGATTTACGGTTGGTATGAAATTCAGAATGAGATTCGAAGGAGAAGATTCCCCTGAGAGAAGGTTTGCATATTTATGTTTCTATTTTTCTTAATTTTTTCTTTATACTATTTTGCTATGTAATTACCTTTTTTTTTTTTTTTGGCTTTACTTAATCTTTGCAGGTTCACGGGTACGATTGTTGGTGTTGAGGATTTATCTTCCCAGTGGACCAACTCCCCATGGCGGTCATTTAAGGTTCATAATACATTCCAATATATAAATTTAAGACATTCAGAAGATGGCACCTTTCTTATATATGCAAACCTTACTCATTAATTGCTGTCATTAGGTTCAATGGGATGAACCAGCAAGTATATTGCGTCCTGACCGGATCTCCCCATGGGAAATCGAGCCTTTTGTACCTTCAGCTTCTGCAGATGTACCACAGCCAGCTACAAAGATCAAAAGGCCTCGACCTCTAGATATGCCTCTCAATGGTACTTGACGTTATATAACATTGAGATAGGTAGAAAATAGGTAGACTAATTGATTATCTTTTAAAATTAAAAAACGACCCCTTCAAGTAAAGTACAAATTAATATCAAAGGCCTATTTCTAAAAATGAAATATATTTATGAGTTCATCTGTAACTAGACTGCACAGGTTTATGTAAAAAACAATTTTTTTTTTTTCTTTTTTTATGTAGAAAATGTTACCAGTTTAGTCACATCCCCTCTCTGGTATCAACAGTCAACCACAACCCATGAAATAAGCCACTTAAATTGTAATAACGAAGTCCAAAGCTGCGAAAACCGAGCTCTTTGGCCTCCGAAGCAGAAAGATATTAGTGTGTGGTCCGCTGTGTCGCACATGAACGGTTCTCTAAAGAGCCCATTTCGAGAATCTACAGAAGAGAATAAAAATGTGCCAGCTGTCCGGTCAAAGGAAGCTAATTGTCTCGACCAAGTTCAAGGGACGAAAAAGTTTGAGAGCTCATCCGTGTGCCGGCTTTTCGGCATTGATTTGAGGAACAATTCTAACAATGTCCCTGTTCCAAACATTGTTTCTAACTGTGAAAATTCAAACTCGACAAAAGAGAAAAAGCAAGTGCATTTGGAGGTTCCGGTAAATTCTTCATCCAGAACTCGGATAAAGGTACGTTTTTTTTCCCCCATTTGAAATTTGCTGAACTTCTAAAAATGCCTTTCATATCCTGGTTTTGAAGTCTGTGTTTTTCTTATAAAATATAAAATATAATATATTAGGTTCAAATGCAAGGGATTGCTGTTGGGCGTGGTGTTGACTTAAATTCTTTTAACGACTATGATGAACTTATTGCGGAGCTTGAGAAAATGTTCGAGATAAAGGGGGAGCTTTGTCCTCGTAAAAAATGGGAGGTCGTTTACACAGACAATGAGGGGGACATGATGCTCGTGGGCGATGATCCATGGCCGTAAGTAATTTAAATACATTGCAATTTGCAAGTCAGTCCTTGAAGTCTGTGTTTGCTTTTATGTTATGATTCTGTTTTGTTCAATCAGAGTCTTGAAATAGAGGCCTGATTCTGCCTCTTGATGGACTTCTTCAAACCAATGTGGCTTTTACAAAACAAACAATCTCTATGAAACTAGTCCAATTCATAGCTTTCATTTGCAAATGTTACCGACTTTCATTTAACTGGATTTAACTTCTTCTATAATAAATATAACTGCTTCGAGGGTCTGATATTTTTGTATGATTAATTTATTAAGAAAGAAAGAAAAAAAATTCTCACGTTTTTCGCAGGGAATTTTGCAAGATGGCTAAAAAGATTTGTATATACTCGAGCGAGGAAGTGAAGAAGATGAGCCCCAAATGCAAGCTTCCTCTAACGTCACTAGACGGTGAAGGCATAATTTTGAGCTTAGAATCAGAGCCTAAATCAGAAACATAAAACTTTCGAATGTTGTCGTATATTTCGGTTTCGAGTAACAAATAAGGTAGCAACAGGTTTGCTCAGTCTTTTTTTTTTTTTCTTTATAATTAAGTGGACTGGAATGGGTACAAGGTAAATAGCAAACCATGATGAAGCTTGGTAAAAGTAGAAACAAATGATCCCTTGAGGGTTGTAAATACAATGTTTTGTGGGGTGTTTTGTGGAATTATTAGAAAGTTTGAGGACCAAGTGTGGTCCAGAAATCTGGGAAAAAAAGAAATAAAAAAAAAGATTGTAGTTGGTTCATCATGGCTGATGCTAGCCCCACTTGGGTTTTGTTTGATTGGTAGCTATCAATTTGTATAAAAATGTATACATGCTTGTCCTTTAATGGCTAAACTTGAGTCTTTTTCATACATGCTTTTTTTTTTTTTT